TAAACATAAAATTTTAGAAGAAATAAATTATTTTAGTGACACTTACAAGTGGCATATACATATAAACATGTCTGTACATATATATGTGTGTATATATATATATATATATATATATGTATATATGTATATATAAATACAAAATTCCTCATATAATATAGATATATATATACATAAAAAACTATATGTATATACATACAGGGGTTGGACAATTAAACTGAAACACCTCTCATTTTAGTGTGGGAGGTTTCATGGCTAAATTGGACCAGCCTGGTGGCCAATCTTCATTAATTGCACATTGAACCAATAAGAGCAGACTGTGAGGGTCCAATTAGCAGGGTAAAAGCACAGTTTTGCTCAAAATATTGCAATGCACACAGCATTATGGGTGACATACCAGAGTTCAAAAGAGGACAAATTGTTGGTGCACGTCTTGCTGGCGCATCTGTGACCAAGACAGCAAGTCTTTGTGATGTATCAAGAGCCACGGTATCCAGGGTAATGTCAGCATACCACCAAGAAGGACAGACCACATCCAACAGGATTAACGGTGGACGCAAGAGGAAGCTGTCTGAAAGGGATGTTCGGGTGCAAACCCGGATTGTATCCAAAAAACATAAAACAACGGCTGCCCAAATCACAGCAGAATTAAATGTGCTCCTCAACTGTCCTGTTTCCACCAAAACTGTCCGTCGGGAGCTCCACAGGATCAATATACACGGCCGGGCTGTTATAGCCAAACCTTTAGTCACTCGTGCCAATGCCAAACGTCGGTTTCAATGGTGCAAGGAGCCCAAATCTTGGGATGTGGACAATGTGAAACATGTATTGTTCTCTGATGAATCCACCTTTACTGTTTTCTGTTGGGTCTAAATACGACTCCTAGTTTCTCACTATCAAGAGTTTAGTTATTAATCAATAGACCCAGGAAGAGGCATCAGAATAAAAAGGCTTGACACAGAGGATAAGTTTTTCTCAACTGCAGAAGAGGGAGAGACTGTGTGGCCAGAGAAAGCCACACATAGAATCTCACACACATTTCTCTAGCAGGAGAGTTTTATTAGACTGATAGTTGCTAAGCAGTGTACATATTATGGGATATGAAAGTATTGGGCACTCGAGGTCAATTTCTGTCATGCCCTTATAAGGTTTTTCCCGGTAGTCTGGCCTGTTGAAGGCCAGACCTCGGAAGACACAGATGGTAGACAGATGGGAGTCAAAACACACATATTTTAGCTTATTCATGGATTTTAGCTTCACACTAATGTAAATACGAAAAATAGCTTCTACATTTTCCCCACATCCGGGAGAGTTACGGTGTGGAAAGCCCCAAAGAAGCGGACCACCCAGACTTTTGCATGCCCAGACTGAAGCATGGGGGTGGATCAGTGATGGTTTGGGCAGCCATATCATGACATTCCCTTGGCCCCATACTTCTGCTAGATGGGCGCGTCACTGCCAAGGACTACCGAACCATTCTGGAAGACCATGTGCATCCAATGGTTCAAACACTGTATCCTGAAGGAGGTGCCGTGTATCAGGAGGACAATGCACCAATACACACAGCAAGACTGGTTAAAGATTGGTTTGATGAACATGAAAGTGAAGTTGAACATCTCCCATGGCCTTCACAGTCACCAGATCTCAATATTATTGAGCCACTTTGGGGTGTTTTGGAGGAGCGAGTCAGAAAACATTTTCCTCCACCAGCATCACGTCGTGACCTGGCCTCTATCCTGCAAGAAGAATGGCTAACAATCCCTCTGACCACTGGGCAGGACTTGTATATGTCATTCATTGACGCTGTATTGGCCGCAAAAGGAGGCCCTACACCATACTAATGAAGTATTGTGGTCCAAAACCAGGTGTTTCAGTTTCATTGTCCAATCCCTGTAGGTCAAAATAAGTGGTGGATAATGTCAGTGATTTAGTTTGACTCTCAGAGTGAGGCGTTGTACAGATTGATGACCACAGGCAGGAAGGATTTCCGGTGGCGCTCTGTGGTGCATCTGGGTGAGAGGAGTCTTCTGCTGAAGGAGCTCATCTGCTGGGCCAGTGTGTCGTAGAGGGGGTGTGACACATTGTCCAAGATGGACTGAAGCCTGGACAGCATCCTCCTCTCTGCCACGGTCGTCAGAGTATTCAGCTCCTCCCCTACGACATCACCCACCTTCCTGATCAGTTTGTTTAATCTGTTGCTGTCTGCGATCTTCAGCCCACTGCCCCAGCATGTGACAACAAAGAAGATCGCACTGGCCACAACAGACTCATAAAACATCCTCAGCATCGTCTGAAAGATGTTGAAAGACCTCAGCCTCCTCAGGAAGAAGTCGGCTTTGGCCTTTCTTGTAGACTGTCTCTGTGTTTCTTGTCCAGTCCAGTTCATTATTTAAGTACACCCCCAGGTACTTATATTCCTCCACAGTGTCCACAGGGACCCCCTGGATGGAAACAGGGGTCATGGGTGTTTTGGCCCTCTTCAGATCCACTATTAGCTCCTTAGTCTTTGTCACATTGAGCTGGAGATGGTTCAGTTTACTCCACGTGACAAAGTTGCCCACCACAGTCCTATATTCACCTTCATCGCCCCTTTCAATGCAGCCAACTATTGCTGAGTCGTCAGAAAATTTCTGAAGGTGGCAGGACTCAGTGGAATAGCTGAAGTCTGAGGTGAAGAGGGTGAAGAGGAATGGAGAGAGGACAGTCCCCTGAGGGGTCCCAGTGTTGCTGATCACCCTGTCAGACACACAGTTCTGTAGGCGTACATACTGTGGTCTGCCCGTCAGGTAATCAACAATCCAGGACACGATAGGGGCCTCCACCTGCATCGCCGTCTCTCACCCAGTAGAGCCGGACGGATGGTGTTGAAAGCACTGGAAAAATCAAAGAACATGATCCTCACAGTGCTCGCCGGCTTGTCCAGATGAGTGTAGACTCTGTTCAGCACGTAGATGATGCTGTCCTCAACTCCCAGGCGGGGCTGGTAGGCAAACTGTAGTGGATAGGTGAAGGGTCTGACCATAGGCTTTAGCTGTTCCAGAACTAGCCTCTCAAAGGTCTTCATGATGTGGATGTAGTCCTGAGTGCCGTTAGGACGCGGCGTCTTAGGCACAGGGACGAGGCAGGACGTGTTCCACAGCACGGGGACTCTCTGGAGGTGCAGGCTCATGCTGAAGATAAGGCTAAGGACTCCACACAGCTGGGCGGCACAAGCTTTAAGCACCCTGGAAAATACAGCATCGGGGCCTGCAGCTTTGCCAGTGTGGAGTCTGGTCAGCTGCCTTCGAACCAGGTCAGGTGTGAGGGGCACTGAAGAGGTGACAGTTGGGGGAGGGGCGAGGTCCTCAGGTTGTGGAGGACACGATGCAGAGCAGGGGGGAGGGGTGGAGTAGGTAGGTGTTAATTTAGGTGGTGAGGAGAAGACGACAGGGGGTCTGAAAGGAGGAGGAGTGGGGGAAGGTGGAGTGGTCATCGTTGGGTAACCAGCAGCAGAGGCTTGTGGGGGATGGGCCTCAGTATCAAACCTATTGAAAATTAGGTTCAATTCATTGGCCCGGTCCACTCGGCCATCCAACACCATGCCGCCGGTCTTCTGTAACGGCATGGGGTTGGATGGCCGAGTGGACCCGTATGATAACTGGTTGTTCAATAGGTTTGCCTAAATAAAAGATTTAGATATTTAGAATCTAATAATTATTTTCTAAATTCTGTGAGAGAAATAAGTTAATTATTCCCATCTCCTGATCTTAAACCAAGGTCCATTGATCTCACACAGCCTGTTTTTAATTTACGTGAAATAACAGGGCCAGAAGTGTCCAAAATTATTGGTTCACTAAAAAATTCGAAAGCTAAAGACATTCATGGATGTGACGGCCCTGCTGTGCGGTCCGGTATGCATGTGTGCTGTATTGCTGTCAATTAACTATCAGTTAAGGTCCTTTAAGTGGGAGGTGCTTCCATCATCCGGCCACCTTGGTGGTATTTAAGGAGCGCCGTTCCATTTATAAGGGCCTTGCCCCCTGGTAGCGCATGCTCGTCCTCCGCAAGCTCGTCGCCATTCAGACCAGACCAGGTTGGGGTCCGGACTTCCTGGTGTGGGGGGACCAGTCATGATCGCCCCATCCGAGTTACCATCTGATGCCGACGCCTAGACCATTTCTTGATTCTTTTAAATAAATGCCTTTTATAGGCTTAAAGCACTGCCTGTTTCCGTGTCCCCCCAGTTTTTTTGTTGCGACCAGTCGAGCCGGGTCATAACAATGGACTAGACACTCATCTCCTAAAATTATGCAAAGAGTCCCTTTTTGATCCAATAACACACATGGTTAATTTATCACTTAAACAGAGAATTGTCCCATTATCCTGGAAACTGGCCACAGTCACCCCAATCTTTAAATCTGGTGACAGTTCAAATATATCCAATTATCAACCAATCTGTATACTTCCAGTTGTTTCCAAGGTTGTTGAGAGCAAATATTATAAATATTATAAGTAGCAAATATTATAAATGAACATTTAAATAATAGTCTGTGGAGGGGGCGTGGCGCTCAGCTGCAGGGGGGAGGGGTGGAAGAGGCTCAGGTGAGCAGTGCCAGGGGAGATGATTAGGCACACCTGGAACCGGTTGGCTAATCACTCTCCCCTCTGTAAAAAGAGTAGCATGCGGGACCTGGGGGGGGTGGTTCTGGACAGAGCGGGAGCAGGAGACAAGCCACCAGCCAGGAGCCAGGAACCCAACAGGCAATAACCTGGGATCCACAACGAGCCCAAGCCGGGCGGGCGTGAGTGTGTGTGCGTGTGTGCGAGAGTGTGTGTGCAGGTGGCACACACGCTCTGGAAATAAACAGTCAACCCAAAACAACCTCTGGTCTGGAACTCTGTCGGGGCACCCACGGTGGCACGACTGCCACATAGTCCCTTTAACCTACATGCAATGCAATTTGGCTTCAGAGCAGACCACTCCACTGAATCAGCAAACGGCTTTTTTATAGAAAAGGTTAAAAGTAATTTGGATATATACCCCTGTGTTGGTGCAGTGTTCCTTGACCTTAAAAAGGCTTTTGACACTGTCAACCATGAAATTCTTCTAACAAAATTGTCAGACTTCAATTTCTCGCCAGAGGCAATTAAGTGGCTTAAATCATACTTATCCTCAATAAAAACAATGTGTAAAAATTGACAGTATAAAATCATCAGTCTTGGATGTCTCTGTCGGTGTGCCGCAAGGATCAATACTTGGTCCCTTGTTATTCTCCCTGTACATAAATGATCTTCCCAAAACATGTAATAATGTGAATTTTCAAATGTATGCAGATAACGCTGTAATTTATACTCATGCAAAAAATGTTAAAGAGGCAGCTTCTATTCTGACCTCAGCCATGGAGCGAGTAAATTATTGGCTTTTTAAATCATGTTTGCTTCTCAATTCCCAAAAAACTGTCTGTTTGATGTTCTCAAAGCAATCAAAAGAAATAAAAAGCTCCGGAGTATTCTTGAGAGGAGAAGAATTACAACTTGTCACAGAATTCAAGTACCTTGGCGTGATACTTGATTCCACTTTGTCCTTCAAAAATCATATAAAAAACTTGCCAATACTGTCAAATTTAACCTTAAAATTTTAAACAAATCAGGTCTTTTTTAACACTTGGTGCTGCTAAAATGGTTCTCCACTCAATGATTTTATCTCACATTGAATACTGCATCACAAGTTGGTCTCTCACCACAGTTACCAATTTAAAATTAATTGAATCACTGTACAAAAAATCTCTTAAAGTGTTTGACCAAAAACCCAATTCTTTCCACCTATATAATATTTTGAACAAGTACAATCTTTTTCATTTTGAAAATTTTATAAATTTTAAGTATGTATGCTTCATTTATAAAGCGCTACATGGACTAGCCCCACCTCCTGTGTCTACCCTGTTCAAACCTAAGACTTCAAGTGGCCTGAGAACCAGGGCCTCATCCAGAGGAGACTGTGAGGTTCCTCGCAGAAGAACAGCTTTTGGTCAGAACACTCTCTCCGTTAGAGCCGCTAACATCTGGAACAGTCTTCCTCTGCACATACGGGAGAGCCCCACACCGATCAGCTTTAGAACTCAACTTAAATTTTGGATGAAAGCAAACCAGTCATGTGACCACTAAAATCTAAACATTTACTTGTGATACTTATATTGTTTATTATATGTTCTTTTTTATGCATTTGCCTGCCTAGGGACTACGGATGAAAATTAGCTTTGTAGCTATAATCCGGCATATTTACATTTGTTTTTGACTGATGTTCATTAATGTGCTTTGTCCCTATTCAAATAAATAAATAAATAAATAAATAAATAAATAAATAAATAAATAAATAAATAAATATGACTTATCAATATATTCCTGCAAGAAGGTGTGATGTTGCAGGGGCAGGTAATAAAAAGTGCTTGGAACATGCTCTTTTTCTGATGCCAGTTTGTTTCAGCCTTTATCCAATCTCATGTACAGGGGCTGGTAATATTACAGGTTATTTGCATTACATTAGGGACAGTTAGAAAGGTAGAGTGAATAGACAAACTTGAAGAGGGGAGGGGGGCTTGCAGGAAAACTGAAACTCGCTGGAACTTCTAGTGTTAAGATATTCTTCCATCCTGCTGTCTCCAAGGACCTGTTTAACCTTTATGATTGTCTGGACTGGTGAGAGTTACCTCAAGCCTGAACAGTGGACAGTCTCTCTGGATTAGCTAAAGTAAACTGGGCTGTAATAGTGTGCTGCAATGCTCTAGCTTAATGTTGTGATGATGTACACTAGAACCTACTAAACCAATCGAATGGGAAGTAAGTTGTCGTTTATAGTTAAAGGGAAGTTTTGTGATTGACATGAGTGTTGTGACATTGGCCTCAGCAAACACTTTTTTAAATAACAGTACTAATATTCTGAAATGATTCTAGAAATGATTTAGTAATCCACACACATTATCTTAAGCCACCCTGATATCAGATAGATCTATTTATTTTAAAAAGCTATCAAGGTGTTGCAAATTACCTGAAATCTGAGCCTTAGACAGGGAACCCACAGTTTTCTAATCTGTTTTGGTCAATTATTTCATGTGTCGCTGTCTGTAGTGTTGCATGCATACATAAAGACACTGCAAATGTTTCCCCTGACGATATTGGACATATTAACTTGTAAATTCATTTAAATGTAAGCTTAGAATGGAATTTACTTTCTATCAATAGTTATTTGCTTGAGCAGATCAGGAAAAGACAATTTTGAAAATCACTAGATTTGTTTAGTTCAAACCGCTGAAGTCTCATCTTAACTTAGGATGATATATCAATATTGACCGAAGAAACATTTCCAATGACCAGAAGGCATAATGTATACAAAACAAAATTTTATCCTAGTATATTTTTGGGGAGGGCTACATTTGATGACCCATCCATCCCATCCATCCATCCATCTATCCATCCATTATCCCCCGCTTATCCAAGGTTGGGTTGTGGGGGCAGCAGCCGCCCGCATTACTGCAGACGCCGCACCGATCCGCCTATCGATCTCACGCTCCCTACCCCCATTCGCGAACAAGACCCCGAGATACTTGAACTCCTCCACTTGGAGAAGGACGTCCGCTCCGACCCGGAAAAGGTATGGTGGCACTGATCCTCATCCCAGCCGCTTCGCACTCGGCTGCGAACCGCTCCAGCAAGAGCTGTAGGTCACGACTTGATGAAGCCAACAGGACCGCATCATCTGCAAAAAGCAGAGATGCGATCCTAAGGCCACCAAGACTGACACCCTCAACACCTCAGCTGCGCCTAGAAATCCTGTTCATAAAAGTTATGAACAGGACCGGAGACATAGGGCAACCTTGGCGGAGCCCAACTCCCACCGGAAACGGATCCGACTTACTACCGGCAATGTGAACCAAACTCTGACTCCGGTCGTACAGGGACCGAACAGCCCCCACAGGATACCCCGAAGGACACGGTCGAACGCCTTCTCCAAGTCCACAAAACACATGTGGACTGGTTGAGCGAACTCCCATGCACCCTCCAGGACTCCGCTGAGGGTATAGGGTATATTTTGCATGGCCTCCCCAAACTCCTCCCACGCCCGGGTTTTTGCCTCTATGACCACCCAAGCCGCATGTCGCTTGAACTGCCGATACCCATCGGCTGCCTCCGGAGTCCCACAGGCCAAAAAGGCCCGATAGGACTCTTTCTTCAGCCTGACGGCATCTCTCACCGCCGGTGTCCACCAGCGGGTTTGAGGGTTGCCGCCACGACAGGCACCGACCACCCTGCGACCGCAGCTCCGGGACGCCGCATCATTAATGGAAGCGCGGATCATGGCCTACTAGGACTCAATGTCCCCCGCCTCCCCCGGAACGTGCTCGAAGCTCTCCCGGAGGTGGGAGTTAAAGCTCCGCCTAACAGGGGACTCCGCCAGGCGCTCCCAGCAGACCCTCACAATGCGTTTGGGCCTCCCGGGTCTCACCGGCATCCTCCCCCACCATCGGAGCCAACTCACCACTAGGTAGTGGTCAGTGGAAAGCTCCGCCCCCCTCTTGACCCGAGTGTCCAAAACATGCGGACGCAGATGAGCTGAAACGACAACAAAGTCGATCATTGAGCTGCGGCCTAGAGTGTCCTGGTGCCAGGTGCACATATGAAAACTCTTATGCTTGAACATGGTGTTCGTTATGGACAATCCGTGCCGAGCACAGAAGTCCAAAAACAGAACACCACTAGGGTTCAAGGTGGGGGGGCCATTCCTCCCAACCACGCCCCTCCAGGTCTCACTGTCATTGCCCACGTGAGCGTTGAAGTCCCCCCGCAAAACGAGGGTGTCCCCAGAGGGGGCACCCTCCAGTACCCCCTCTAAGGACTCCAAAAAGGGTGGGTACTCTGTACTGCCGCTAGGCGCATAGGCACAAACGACAGTCAGGACCCGTCCCCCCACCCGAAGGCGAAGGGATGCTACCCTCTCGTTCACTGGGGTAAACCCCAACGTACAGGCACCGAGATGGGGGGCAATGAGTCAGCCCACTCCTCTTCGGCGCCTCTCACCGGGGGCAACTCCAGAGTGGCAGAGCGTCCAACCCCTC